CTACCGAGGGACCCCACATACTGATGTTATGTCTGGAGTGATGATAGCTGGAGTGGAACATGCGAGACTGGTGCTGGTGGCCGTTGCCCCGCCGATACCGTTGGTGACGCCGGTCAAGCCTTGGGAGAGTGACGCGCCGTGCGAACAGCAGCCTGAGCCATGGCGACCACGGAAGAGAGCGGGGCTGTAGGTAGGCAAGCGGACGGCGTACGAGTCTCGACGCGGTGGGCAGGCGGATGGCGCACGCCGCGGCGGGGCAGGCGAACCCAAAACGGATAGCGACCGCACCCCCTGCGCCAACTTTGGCGTCGAGAAAATGCCACGCGTGCCACACTTGGCGAGCCCGAGACGGATAGTGACCGCACCCCCAGCGCACCCCCTTTGTGGCGTCGCGAAAGTGTCGCCCCTGCCACGTTTTCCCAGCCCGAAACGGATAACGACCGCACCTTTGTGACACCCTCAGCAGCGTCGATAAGTTGCCACGCCTGCCACACCTTGCGAGCCCGAAACGGATAGCGATCGCACCCCTTAAGGCACCCCCTGTGGCGTCAATACAATGCCGCGCCAACCATGCTCTGCGAACCCGAAACTGATAGCGACCGCATCCCCATGACACCCCCTGTAACGCCGATAAACTCACGCTTGCCACAGAAACGGATGGCGACCGCACCCCCAGCGCACCCCCTTGCAGCATCGAGGAAGTGCCACGCCTGCCACACTTGGCGAGCCCGAAACCGATAACGACTGCACCCCTTGCGCCCTCTTCGGCGTCGAGAAAATGCCGCGCGTGCCGCATTTGGCGAGCCCGAAACGGATAGCGACCGCACCCCCAGCGCACCCAGTTGTGGCATCGAGGAAATGTCGACCCTTCCACGTTTTCCCAGCCCGGAACGGATAGCGACCGCACCTCCGTGGCACCCCCGCAACGTCGATAAGTTGCCACGCCTGCCGCGCATTGCCAGCACGAAACGGATAGCGACCGCACCTTTTAAGGCACCCCTTGTGGCGTCAACGCAGTGCCGCGCCAACCATGTTTTGCGAGCTCGAAACGGATGGCGACCGCACCCCCATGACACCCCCTGTGAGCCGATGAGCTGTCACGCCTGCCACACTTGGCGAGCCCGAAACGGGTAGCGACCGCACCACCAGCGCACCCCTCTGCAGCATCGAGGAAATGCCACGCCTGCCACATTCGGCGAGCCCGAAGCGGATAGCGACCGCACCCCTTGCGCCCTCTTTGGCGTCGAGAAAATGCCGCGCGTGTCACACTTGGCGAGCCCGAAACGGATAGCGACCGCACCCCCAGCGCACCCAGTTGTGGCATCGAGGAAATGTCGACCCTTCCACGTTTTCCCAGCCCGGAACGGATAGCGACCGCACCTCCGTGGCACCCCCGGCAACGTCGATACGTTGCCACGCCTGCCACGCATTGCGAGCACGAAACGGATAGCGACCGCACCTTTTAAGGCACCCCTTGTGGCGTCAACGCAGTGCCGCGCCAACCATGTTCTGCGAGCCCGAAGCGGATAGCGACCGCACCCCCTTGACACCCCCTGCAACGCCGATAAACTCACGCTTGCCACACTTGGCGAGCCCGAAACGTGTAGCGACCGCACCCCCAGCGCCCCCCTTTGCAGCATCGAGGAAGTGCCACGCCTGCCATACTTGGCGAGCCCGGAACGGATAGCGACCGCATCCCTTGCGCCCTCGTTGGCGTCTAGAAAGTGCAACGCCTGCCACGCTTTGCGAGCCCGAAACGGGTAGCGACCGCTCCCCATGGCACCCCTTTTGTAACGTCGAGAAAATGCCGCGCGTGTCACACTTGGCGAGCCCGAAACCCCAGCGCTCCCCCTTACGATATCGAGGAAGTGCCACGCTTGCCACGCGTTGTGCGCTTCCTCTTGTGTCGAGGAAGTGGCACGCCTGCCATGCACTGCGAATCCCAAACGCACGCCTTGCATATGGCATGTCATGTGTATGTATATGAGGCGTGTGCGGCCATTTCGGGACGTGTGTCTCATGTGGGTGCCCAGTCTGTTGTGCATACGCCTTGAGTGTATGATGCAGTGAACAGGCCAGACGTGCACTAGCGTTGTATGGTGTGTGTATGTGTGTGTGTGTGTGTGTGTGCGAGTGTGTGTGTGTGTGTGTGTGTGTGTGTGTGTGCGTGCGTGCGTGCGTGCGTGCGTGCGTGCAGCAGTGTGGGTGGAGGGAAAACGGAAGGGGAGGATAGGGAAAAGGGAAGAGGGAGATGTGAGGAAGACGTGGGTGCGACGCCGGTGGGAAGAACACCAAAACCCCACGACCAAACATGTGGGGAAATATTTGGAGGCAATTCCCACGAGAATTGTCCCCAAACATGTTGCCAGCGAGAGGGATCCCCGACAACTTACGACCCACGGGCACCGCAATGTCACCAGGCTGACGGTCCGTCGTTTGCATGGAGTTTTGAAGATTCCACCTCATATCCGAATTGGGACTTTGAGGGGCCTCATGAAGCCTCGCCCAGTATCCCCTACACTCTCCCCCGCTGTCAGCAACGAAAGCCAAGGGGCCTCTAGAGTATGTAGCGATAGAGGCAACGGCATACGGAATAGCTCACCCCTCGGGACGCTTTGATGCCGCCCCGGCACGGGTCCGTAGATGAAGCTGCGCTCATTCCCTGGCTGGGGCTCTGGGCCTCTGGGCATGCCGCTGTGGAGACTCCTGCCCGCCTACGCCCAGTATCGAGGGCGCCCGATCGGCCGGGCGCCTTACCAGGCAAAAGCAGGGGGGCCGCTCGTGGTCACCCTTCGCCAAAACGAGAGGGCAGGTCTTCGCCGTTCGGGTGACTGCGAACCCACACGTCATCTTTGCCTGAGGGTTCTGGCTCGGTCACGTCACTGGGAGTCAGCCCTCTCAGCCAAATGTCAACTTTCTGCCTGAACACACGCACGCGCAACTACATGCTCAGGTGCTTCGAACGCTGACGACCCTGGATCACTCGCACACTGCCACGCTGGTGCAAGAGAGTCTCGTGTGCGACCCACACTGGCGGCAGCCTCGCTGGTTCAGGGTAGCCAGTTTCGCTCTTCTTGGAAGCGGGCCATGAGCCTCCGACAGTAATCGTGAGCACCAATTTACGTAGTTGCCGTCTGTGTTCTGGTACTTGCTCCAGGCAAAACATGACGTCTCAAGCTGAAATTGTCCACTCCATCCTCCACGCCGCCTCCATTATAAGAATTGGCAACATCCTTCCATTGTCGCTTCTGCAGGGTGAGAAGTTGTCGACCAACCTTCTGGCTTGATCGAACGTCTCGAACTCAACCGACCCAGAAGACCATCCATCAGCCTCGACACCATCAGATCCACCAGCTGGGAAACATAGGTGAGGTTGAAGGAGATCCCACCCCGCGTTCACCAAAAGCAGATCACCGCCGTCAACGGTCCTCTGATATGCCTGGCTCGATGGTGAGGGCCCAGCTGGACGAACTGCTGCACGGCATCGTGCCAGACCTTCATGATAGGCTCCCGCCCGCGAGGGAAGTCAAGCCAGCACCTCAACCACTGCTCCAGGCACTGTCGAGGAAGGGCGTACCCTGGGTCAGCCCCAGGAGCTCGTCGATCCAGCAGCGTAGTCAAGCACCGCCCATATCGATGGTCTGCGGGGCAAAAGGGGGAGGAGGAGGAGGAGGAGGAGGAGGAGGAGGAGGAGGAGGAGGAGGAGGAGGAGGAGGAGAGGAGGAGGAGGAGGGAGGAGGAGGAGGAGGAGGAGGAGGAGGAGGAGGAGAGGGAGGAGGAGGAGGGAGGAGGAGGAAGGGAGGAGGGAGGAGGGAGGAGGAGGAGGAGGAGAGGAGGAGGGAGGAGGAGGAAGGAGGAGGAGGAGGAAGAGAAGAAGAGAAGAGGGAGGAGGAGGAGAGGAGGAGGGGGAGGAGGAGGGAGGAGGAGGAGGAGGGAGGAGGAGGAGGAGGAGGAGGAGGAGGAGGAGGAGAGGAGAGGAGGTAGTGAGCAGGTCGGGGCAGCCGTGAAGTTTTTTTCCCCGGCCGCGGGCCACGACCTCAGCGGTCCCCAGAGCCGGGCCTCCGGTGGCCCCCCAGAGGGCCGCAGATTCCCAGACGGCTTCTGCAGAGATGCCCGACGCCCCCCCCTGTGATGAGAAGCAGGTTCACATTATCGACTAGACGTAAGAGTGACCTTTCGCCGGAGTGACCTTTGGTGCGGGCACAGATGGGCCCCCAGATGGCTGAAAACGAAGCGGTAGCAGGGGCTTGCGCGCCCAGGTTTGGCCTCCCCGCGGCCCCCAAAAAGCCGCGCACCAAAGGTCACTCTTACCCAGGGTCACTCTTGCGTGTAGCTGACACTGCGACACGAAAGTGATGTGAGGCGTTCCAAGAAGGGCCTTGCCTTCGAGGATCGGAGGAGTTGCCATCCCCTCCGCGGCGGACGCCGGCGGAAGGGCGACGATGACGACGACCGCCGACAACGATTGCTGACGACAATGGCTGACGACGACAGCTGACGACGATGACGACGACGACGACGACCGCTGACGACGACGGACGATGACGACGACGACGACGATGACGACGACGACGACGACGACGACGACGACGACGACGACGACGACGACTTCGACGACGACGATGACGACGACGGCAACGGCGACGGCGACTGCGACGGCGACGGTGACGACAGCGCCGCCGACGCCCCCGCCGCCGACGACGACGACGACGACCAGTGACGACGACGGTGGTGGTGGCGACAGCGGCAATGCCGACGACGGCGATGACGGTTGAGTTCGACGATTGGCGACCGACGACGGCGGCCACAGCTGACGACGACGACGACGACGACGACGACGACGACGACGACGACGACGACGACGACGACGACGGCGGCGGCGACGACGACGACGACGACGACGACAGCTGAAGACGACGGCGCTGGGTTGCGCCGGCGGCGACGACGATCGAGGACTGCGTCGGTGGGCGGCGGCGATGGCGGCGATTCCGACGCGCCAGGAGGATTGGCGATTCCACAAGCGGACGTGCAGGAAGCCGGAGGAGAAGCCGGCTCCGCTCGGGGACGAGGCGGGCAAGGGCGAGGGCGACATGGACCTCGAGGCAACCGCGGCGCGACAGGGCCACACCTGTTCAGTAGAGCTCCTCCTCCTCCTCCTCCTCCTCCTTCTATTCTTATTCCCACTCCTCCTCCTCCTCCTCCTCCTCCTCCTCCTCCGCCTATGCCTATTCCCACTCCTCCACCTCCTCCTCCTCCTCCTCCTCCTCCTCCTCCTCTTCCTATTCCACTCCTCCTCCTCCCCCTACTGCACTCCTGCTCCTGCTCCTGCTCCTGCTCCTCCTCCTTCTCCCGACCTCCTCCTCCTCCTGCTTCTGCTCCTGCTCCTGCTCCTCCACCTCCTCCTCCTCCTCCTCCTCCTCCTCTTCCACCTCCTCCTCCTCCCCTCCTCTTCCTATTCCTCCAACTCTACTCCTACTACTACCCCTACTCGCACTCCTGCTCCTGCTCCTGCTCCTGCTCCTGCTCCTCCTCCTTCTCCCAACCTCCTCCTCCTCCTCCTCCTGCTCTGCTCCTGCTCCTCTCCGGCTCCTCCACCTCCTCCTCCTCCTCCTCCTCCTCCTCCTCCTCCTCCTCCTCCTCTTCCTCCTCCTCTTCCTACTCCTCCTCCTACTCCTGCTCCTACTCCTGCTCCTGCTCCTGCTCCTGCTCCCCTGCTCCTGCAACTGCTCCTGCTCCTGCTCTTTCCCGAGCGCGGGCTGCGGCCAGCGCTCGGCCTCTCGGCGCCCGCACGTGCGCCCTTTCTGCCCGTGCTCTGCCCTCTGCCAGTGGTCGACGCCGGCGGGCGTCCGACTTTGGGTGAGCGGCGCAGGCAGCCGGGTCGGCCGCGCAGGCGTTCGCGCACGGGCTCCTGGCATCGCTCGGACGCGTGCACCTTTTCCTTCGGCGAGGAGTATCGAGGAGCACTTTTGCCTTCGGCGAGGACCATCGAGGAGCATCCTGGATCACTTGGCGAAAAAAGCCACGCACGACACCGAACAAAAGCACAGGGAGTGAACGTCCGAGCGACGGCCAGAGCGGCGCAGGCCGCCGGGGTCGACCGCGCAGGCGTTCGCGCAGGGGCTGCCCGCAGGTGCGGTCGGGAGCTCTTGCCAGGCGTGTCCTGCCGCCAGCTCAGGCCTGCACCTCGCCGCCGCGTGGCCCGCAGACGGGCGCACGGCGGCGCAGGTTGCGGTGGCGTGGGAGAGCGCGCAGCTCGCGCGCTCTTTCCTGCGATTCGCTGCGTCGTGTTCGCTCGATGCGTTCGCCGACTGGCAGTACAGGAAAGTGTGGCTGGTGATGTCCTACAGCCTTCCTTCCTCGCCGTGAAGCAACGTCGCCGTGAGCCTGGCCTTGGGTGCATCCACGTCCCGAGCCTGTGCCAGCCTCCCGCCCCGCGGATCGGAGCGGCACGCTGTCCGCTTACAGGAAACATAATGTCGACGGGGCCACCGCTGAGACACGTCGTCGTAGTGGTCGTCGTTTTCGTCGTCTTCGTCGCCGTCGTCGTCGTCGTCGTGCTCGTCGTCGTCGTGCTCGTCGTCGTCGCTGTCGTCGTCGTCAACATCGTCTTCGTCGCCGTCGTCGTCGTCGTGCTCGTCGCCGTCGTCGCCGTCGTCGTCGTCGTCGTCGTGCTCGTCGTCGTCGTCGCCCGACCGTGAGGTCGCGCGTAGGCGCCCTCCTCTCCGCGTGGTGTGCGCGTTGCAAGTTCGCGCAGGCCACCGCGGTAGGCCGCCACGCCCTCTCGCGCAACACCGTGAGGCGTTCCCTCCTTCGTCGCCGAGCTGGCCGCCCGAGGCGGCCGTTCCCCCCGAGGTTCCCCGTCGTGGTCCCGGGGGAGAGCATGCACTGCAAAGTGCTTGCTTATGGGGAAACAAGCCCTTCAATCCGGGACGTTTGATGTTATTCTAGCCCCCCGCTCTTTACAGCAGGACTGCCACTACTCTCGGAGGTGGACAGAACCCTCACCCTGACGCGTCGATTGGTGAATTGTCCGTTTTCGGTTCTCGAGAGGGCGCCGCGGCCGTCACTTTCCATGCTCGCGCCCGCCAGGTTTAGGCCCGAGGTCGTTTTCACTAAACCACGTTTCACTAAAGTCGGGGGTGGACAGACCTCCTACCCTGACACGTCGATTAGCGAATTGGCCGTTTTCGGTTCGCGAGAGGGCGTCGCGGCCGTCATTTTTGCGGGTCCAGGTCCGTCGGTTTCGGTTGTCCACCGCCGATAAAGGGGTTTCTGTCCATCCCCGATACGCAGGCACTGCATGCAGCAGGCGCGCCGGACCAGAAGCCGTCCTGCCGTGGAGTGCCCCCGGGGGAGGCTCTGGGCACGCGCCCGGGGGGGGGGGGCACCGCAGGGAGGCGGAGGGTGGACGACGGCCATGCCCCGAGACCGCAGTGGGCCCCAGAAACGGCAGGGCCGTTTTTTCACCGTTTCCGAAAAAGTGCCCCTTGAAAATGGACATGGCAAAAAAACCGGCGACCAGAAACGGCAACAAAAAACGGCTCCAGGAGTGGAACCGGAGCGGAAACCCGTTTATAAGAACGGCGACGGAACCGGTAAAAAACGGCGTCGGAACCGGCAAAAAAAACGGCAAAACGGAAGCGGTCAAAAAACGGCCTTGTCGTTTCCAGGGCCCATGAAGCCCGAGACTATGTTCTTGCTGTTCTTGAAGACTCCTCCTGCCGACTTGAGGCAACACTGAATGAGAATCGTTTAGCCAACCCCACTCGCATCCCCATGGGCGTCGCCTGGGCCCCACTGGCCGACCCCCCCCCCCTCCCCGAGAGGGGCATGGGCCGTTTCCCTCGGGCGTCCAGGGGTATGGCTTCTCACGGCAGGGAGCACCTGCTTCTCATCGCATGTGCTCGCTGCAGCGGGTCGCCGCCTGCGGGCGGGTGGTGCTCGGCGCCTCATCACCAGGAGGGGGAGGACCAGTGCAAACCCAAAGCTCACCAACGATATTGCAATCAGCCCTTCCTCCAAGTTCCCTTTTCATGTTTCCCTACAAGGGTTTCTCTTCACTCGTGTGGAATGCCCCCTTGGAGGACAACCAGTTGGAAAACCTGAACCGCGTCAGAGACCAATTCCTGGGACCTCACGCCGCGAATGAACATTACTGGTGCGTCCTGGCGGTCCTGAATCGTGCCAGAACCTTTCGTGGGACTTCAACACCGCGGATCAACGTGACTGTTGCGCTCTGACAGTCCACCACGTCAGCCAGAAGAATAGTCGGAACTGCTGTGAACGTTTAAGACGAATGTGCGCGGGGCGAAGGCGAGAACCACATTTTGAAAAGGCACCGACCTCAATTCGTGAAGCTACTGCAAACTTCTAAGACGAATGTGCGCGGGGCGAAGGCGAGAGCGACACTTTGAAAACCACCCGCCCTCCATCTGTGAAGCCCCTGCTTTTACGAAGCGCGTGCGCGGCGCCAAGGCGAGAGCCACATGCTGGAAAAACCACCAGCCCTCCATCCGTGAAGCTGCTGCAAGCTGTTAGGGCGAAGGTGCACGGGGCTTTGGCGAGAGCCACATTCTGAGAACAAATCCCGCCCGCCGCCCGCTGTTGCAAGTTTGAGCCTCAGGATCCTCGGCGGAGGGGAGTCTTCAGGCGAGCCGCCTGGCCCGCCCGGCCGGCACCTCTCGGGGTGAGGCAGGGAGGAGGTACTTATATAAGGAAAAGGGAAGGAAAAAGGGATGGAGGAGGAGGAGGCGGAGGAGGAGGAGGAGGAGGAGGAGGAGGCGGAGGAGGAGGAGGAGGAGGAAAGCCGTTGCCCGACCCGGGGGCGTGGACCCCCCCCCGCCAGGCCCCTGACGCAGGGGCGGGGGTGACGCAGCGAGCGGTGGCCAGGCGCGGCGCCCGCCGCGCCACGCCGTTCGGGCTGGCCGCCGCCTGGCTCGGCACCTCCGCCGCTGCATGTCAGCCACGCGCCGACGGGGGGCGGGGGGGGCAGGGGGGAGGGCTCCTTAGAGGCACCCCTGCTCCTCAGAAGGCGCGGGCCCTGTCTATGGACGTAAGGCCGGCGCCTTCTGAGAAGCAGCCTCCTTCTGAGAAGCCCAACCCCACTCACTCCAACCCCTTGTGCGCGCCGCCAAACATGGGGAAAATCAAACACATGTTCCAAAAATAGTCTCTGGGGGCGATGGGTGGTTGACACTGTCCTTGCGATTTTTGTAGAAATTTGACCATGTTTGACCACTTCTGGCTAGCTTGGACATTTTCAGACGATGTTTTGTTTTTCGTCCAACATCCGCCTGTGGGGGGGGGCATGCCCGACCTAAACTGGGTGCCCAGGCCTCGGGATGACGAGGCGAGCTTACCACGACCACAAACGGCTAGGCTACACGGCCCGAGCACGGAGGGGACTTATAGGGTACGGGGCATCGCCATCCCTGTCGGCGCGGCAGGCCCGAGCGGAGAGCACTGCGACGCTGTCAAGTCGAAGCTCGGGAACCACATCAACGAGCGTATTGACCCACACGCCAGCACCAGCGCCTGCGACCATACCGAGGTCAGCAACAGCAGAGATAGGAAACCGCAGCTCAACCCGTAGGCGCTCGACTGCGTCCCGTCCATGGTCGACATCGGCTGCCCCGCCAGGCCGCCTGGCCACTGGGACAATCAGTGCGGCTACCAGAAGGAGTTCGAGGACTACTACGGCGACTACGGCCCATGTGTCCTCCCGACATTCCTCCCCGCGGTCGCGTACGCGAGGGAAGATCAGTTGCAGCAGAACATCGAGTCCACCATCCACCACGCCCAGAGACGCCGCTGGAAGGAAACCGAAGATGCCCAAGCTTGCACCCACGCCTGCGCCTACCCAGCCACCGATAAGGTGGCAGGTACGCAAGCAAGGGCGGGGCCGAGGCATTACCACTCCAGCCGTGGCTGCTTTCCCTCCAGTTGACGGGGGAGGGGACCCGGCGATGGGCATGGTTGCAACCCCACCCTTGCCTGCCTCCACGGGACCCCACGGGGGCAGAGACCCGTCTGACGACGAGGACCGCTGCGCCATCCTAGTCGAGAACCTGCCGCCGAGCAACAAGGAGGATGCCGTGAACGACACCTTCGGCCTCCTCGGGCACATCCATGCCACCCGGGTCGCCACCAATCTGAATGGCCACTCCCTGGGCTGACCACTCCGACGCCCCCGACTCCGCCCAGAAGGCCCTCAAATATGCCGCCCGCCCAGGGGGCGGCATCTGCATCGGCGTCGCGACGGTCCGCGCTGCCGCCTGCCGCAGTGCCGAGGCGGACGCCAGCAGCGCTGCTGACGAGGGCATTCCAGGCCCTCCTGCTCACGACAGCGTGCCAGGCCCTGTCCCTGTCGCGCACCGGCAGCGTGCCGGGCCCTGTTGTTGCCTGGCCCGCCCTGTCTACCCGGGAGGAAGAGATCGTCGTTGCTGTGCAGTCCCTTCGCGAAGACGGCGAACGCCTTGCACGACAGTTCCAGACGTCGTTCGTGCGAGGGCTGCCCGTGATCATTCGGGACACGTCGATCGAGCCGGGCGTCCTGCACAAGGCGTCTCGCAAGTGGCAATTCAGCCGCTATCCTGTCCAAGCAGCAACTGGCGAGAGGACCGAGCGAGGGCTAGGGCGAGGCTCATTCCCCAGCCACGTAGATCTGAACGAGACCTCGCCACGTATCACAGCCTCTCCACCACCCCATCATCTGCTCACCATCTCCCTCAGCGCCGCCTCCCAGTCCTCTGACCAATGGGCTCGGTGCTCAGAACATGCGAAAACAACACCTTGCTGACCCCCAGCAGTGTTTTCTCCTTGGGGGTCCACCGCCCATTTTTGTGCAGCGCTGTCGTGGAAGTCGTGGAGGTTCGGGGCAAACCGCCAAACCCCACGGCACCAACTGGCTCCAGACTCGCGTCGCCGCCAGCAGCTTCGCCACCACATCGTCTCACAAACGACCACGGGCAGACCAACGAGCAAGCCAACGAGCGCCCTCACGCAGGCGCCAGGCGTTGCGTCACATAGTCGTTGCGCCGTTTCGGGACCAGCTCCACCTTCTGGCCCCTGAGACCCTGACCCGTTGCCCGAGCTGCCCTGGCGTTTAGCCTTTTCCCGTTTAAGCCGACCTCCGCTTGACTCCCCACCAGTCGTATTTTCGTTCCCCCTCTCCGCCGCATCCGCGGCCGTCCCGCGGGGCCCCCCTTTCACCGCCCCTCGCTCCCGTGCGCCGCTGTCATAGGGATGGGGTCTCGTGGGCGAGCCGAGTTTATGCGAGGAGAGGGGTGGGCAGTGACAACGCGCCGCCATCACAACCATGTCACGGCAGGCACGCCACCGCGCGTCCACGGGTAAGCCAACGAGCGCTCTCACGCAGGCGCCAGGCGTTGCGTTACATGGTCATTGCGCCGTTTCGGGCCCAGCTCCATCCCTCGGGCCCCTGAGACCCTGGCCCTTTGCTCGAGCTGCCCTGGCGTTTAGCCTTTTCACGATTGAAGTGGCCCCAGCCTGATTCCCACCAGTTTCGTCGCGCTGTCGTCTTCATCGTCCCTCCCCCTTACGCTATAGCATTGCTCTCCCTCCCCCAGGGCCCCGCCGTCTGCGCGGCCGTCCCCCTGGGCCCCCCTCGCCCCCTTCGCCCACCCGCGCCGCTGTCGTGGGGAGCGGGAGTCGTCGGCGGGGCGGGCTGATGGGGGGGTGGGTTGATCCATCACGACGAGCTGCGGACCACGGGTGCAGCCGTGCTGGTGCCACCCAGCCATTCCGGTTTTGAGGGCTGCGACACGCCACCAGCCCCAGTCGAGGAGGAGGAGGAGGAGGAGGAGGAGGAAGAGGATGAGATGGACGAGGAGGAGGAGGAGAAGGAGGAGGAGGAGGTCTCCCCTTCCTTCATTTGCTTGTTCATGTTATGCACCGCCCACTTGGCCTCAGCATCACCCCGCATTCGGCAGCTCGGTTTCACCGCGTCCATCCTCTCCCGCGCACGCCCCTTGGCTGGAGCGACCGAACTCCAGGACGAAAATCGGACGAATATGGCTCGTGTCACAAACAGACAACACAGTCCGTTCGTCGCACAACTACGCCTGGCCAGGACCACCGTGGCCGTTTCCACGCGGAGCGCGAAGACAGTTGCGCCCGGGGTCACTAGCCTCATTTTGGTGCGAAAGCAAAGTTCGCGCTCCAGAGACTGGACGTCCAACATCGACACCGCGCACTGTTGTTTACCCTGCCGACACCCCTGCCGAAGCGCCCGTGGCACGGGGGACCTGAATGTGGAGGGGGGGGGGGCATAGAACTGGCCGACTAGACGTAAGGGTGACCTTTCGCCGGAGTGACCTTTGGTGCGGGCCCAATGGGGTCCTCCGATCTCGGAATGCGATGCGAAGGTAGCGTTGTGCGCGTTTGGGTTTGGCCCCCCCGCGGCCCCCAGAAAGCCGCGCACCAAAGCTCATTCTTACCCAGGGTCACTCTTGCGTGTAGTCGAACTGGGGAGCTGGAGGTGGAGGACCCTTCGCCTAGCGTTGCCAGCCAGCGACTCCTGGAACGACCGCCCCAGGAGTCGCCAGGCTCCTGGCTTTTATCCCCCCCAGGACCGACCGGCCATCGGGGGGGGGATGGTCGTGCCCGGCCGACTCTCAGACCATCAGTGGCTCAGCGGTTCAGGAAAAGGAGGAGGAGGACGAGGAGGAGGAGGAGGAGGAGGAACACGGTGGATGAGGACAAGACGGAAAGGGAGGAGGAGGAGGAGGAACAAGGAGGATGAGGACAAGGAGGAGGGGGAGGATGAGGAGGAGGAGGATGAGGCGGAGGCGGAGGAGGAGGACGAGGAGGAGGAGGAGTAGGAACAAGGTGGATGAGGACAAGAAGGAAAGGGAGGAGGAGGAGGAGGTGGAAGACAAGGAGGAGAGGGAGTAGGAGGAGGAGGAGGAGGAAGAGGAGGAGGGGGAGCAGGAGGAGCAGGAGGAGGGCAAATAATGGCAGGGGCAGGAGGGAGGGGAAGGAGGAGAAGGCAGAGGGCTTTCCCTTCAGGTGTCTTGGGGAGTTCAAGAGTGGCCCCTGGAAAGTGCTGGGAGCGAGGGAGGGGGTAGGGCGACGAGGAGGACGAGGACGACGAGGAGGAGTTACATGAGAGCGTTACAGGCTTCGGTAACTACCTCGAGTCCGCTCAACGCAACAGAAGGAGCTGCAAGAGCTGCAGGAGGAGCAGCAACAAGTGGGGGAGGAGGAGGAGGACAGTGCAGTCGAAGCCGATGGTAAGGATGGGTTCCTTCCCGAGGGTACCCTCGCATATCCTTGCCTCCTCGGTCCATCCCAAACCTCTTTCCACCCAGAGATCCGCAGCTCCAAAAATAAGTGGAGCGGGCGGTTTTGGATTGTTTTCGGCCTCTCGAGGGCCCTCGCCAGGCCTGGGGAGCGTCAAACAATGATTTGGGACGAAAAACGGGCCCTAGGGAAGTGGTCCGGACCTCCAGGGCCCACGCTTAAAACAAATTGGAGCAGCCAGATGATTGGGGATGGCTCGCCGCGCTCAAAAACTTCGACACGGGCGTCCAATAGGCGCACATCCTGTTTCGCTCATCCCTGCTATCAGTTTTGACCGTAGTGTGCAGACGTGGCCGCCGCAGGCGATGAAGAGGCAGATGTATGAGGCGACCAAAGGCCGCGGCTCGCTCGGGCAGCCCCACTCGGCCCTGTCGTCTCGCCTTCCTCTGTCCCCCCTCTCCGTCGTCGTCGTCGTCATCGTCGTCGTCGTCGTCAGCGTAGTCGTCGTCGTCGCTATTGTCGTCGTCGTCGTCGTCGTCGTCTTCGTCTGCGTCGTCGTCGTCTGCGTCGTCGTCGTCGTCGTCGTCGTCGTCGTCGTCCTCTTCTTCCCCATCTTTTCTGTGCGCCTGCGTTGCCATTTAGACCGTTCATTTCCGATCCTGTTTTGCCCCCTTCCTCTGGATTCCTCCCTCCCCCTCCTCTCTCCTGCATTCCCCTACTTGCTTTGTCCATACCTCTCGAAAATAAGGCTGTTCTTTGTTCTCGGCTGCCCGGCCAGACCAAGATCCGGCGACGGCAAAGCAGATGCAGTCGATCATGGCCGGCATGATGGGGATCGACATGCCTAAGGATCTGGGCGCTCTTGATTCCGAGCGCGCTCCACGAATCACTCGCAAAGTGCCTACTCGCAGACGTCAGAAAAAAAACACGTCTGCATCGGTGTACTGGATCGTGAGTTCCCCCGCGGCGGCTCCAGGCCATTTGCGAGCAGGCACTCTGCGAGCAGTGGGACGCGCTTGTCTACGTGACCATTTTCTCATTCGTTGTTTTGCCGATCGGCGCGGGCCCTCGCAACCCCCCCCCCCGCCCCCCTCCCCATGGAGTATATGTAAGTCGGGCCTGTCCCTCTACAGGGGGAATCTTCAAAAATAGTTTAAAAAATTGTCCGGGGATCATTTTTTAATATTTTGGAGCATCTTGGGGGAATGTTTTGAGTATTTCTTATTCGTCGTCCAAAACCCCCCTGTAAGGGGACAGGCCCGACCTCAGAGTAGATCTTGGCTGTCTCTGGCGCCCGTTCCGAGCGGGCAGGCGGAGCCTCCCCCCCGCAGGGCCGCACGGCTGCCAACCGTCGCGCGAAGCATACGTCCGCAGCTGGGCCCCCTCCTCCCCGTCCCCTGGCACCGCTCGGACGTGTGCATTTTTTCAGAGCGTGAATTACCTAATTATCCCTCTTTCGCTTCCAGGCAAAACCCAAGTCATACCATACGCCTCCTCGTCAAGCGGCCTGACCAGTACATGCCGTAGTTTGGCATCGCTTGGTATTTTTTGGAAGCGAGGGTGGTCAAAAGCGAGGTAGGTTTGTTTGCCCCCTATTTTTTCTCGGCGAGAACCATCGAGGACCATCCTGGACCGTCGAGCAAACAAACACGCACGAGACCGACAAATGCACGGGACATGGACGTCCGAGCGATGCCTGGTTCCCCCCCCCCTATCCCCCTTTTCCGCCCGATGTCGAAACTTACGTCGGGCATGCCCCTCTACAGGAGGACAGTTCAAACATCGTCAAAACAAATAGTCCGAGGGCGATGTTTGGAGCATTGTTTGACAATGCTTGAGCATGGTTGGACTCTTTTTTATTGTTGTTGACGATTTGGTGTATTTGTTTGATACTTTTGATTTTTCGCTGGAAATCCGCCTGTAGGGGGACATGCCTGACCGAAGCCGAAACGCCGAATAAGAAAACGCTCACTATTGAAGGGGTTCGGCGCTGAGGGGGGTCAGCCACATTCCCCCCCGCTGGCCAGCCCAGGCTTAGGAGCCGCGAGGAGCCTCCCGTCCCCTCCCCTCCCCTCCGCCAGGGTTCGTGAGCCGATCTGGCCAGGGGGAGAACAGAACACACACAGACACAAGTGATGATCGATTACCAGGAACATATGAGAAACTTGGAAGTGAAGGGGAAGACAAACTCGGAGGAGGAGAAGGCACCCATACCTCTGCCCCTTCGCCCAGTGTCCCCTTTTTGGGCTTCCCGGGAGACCCTCGTCGCCACCGCTGGATTCGCCTCGACATGCTGGTCAGAACGCACCCCGGGAGAGGTCCGCGGAGTAGTGGCATCGGTACCTTCTTGGTCTCCCCACGAACACCCAGCACGCATTAAAGATATGGGGAATCCTTGGATCTGTGTCTACAGTGAGCGGCTTGAATAAGGAACACCTACTTTTCAAAAGGGGCTCGGTCGTTCCTTAGGCTTGCATGCGTTAGTTATCGTTCCTTATGCGTTATTCCCTACCTAGGCTCTGCCTAGAAGGGTTCTTACTCTCTTTGCTTAAAGGGCCGGGCAATGCTAACCGCCCCAGGCGGTTCCCCCAGTCCCCGCCCCGCGGTTCCCCCAGTCCCCTGGGAGTTTTAGCCTTAGCTTTAGCGTTAGCTTAGCTTTAGCTTTAGCTTTAGCTTAGCTTTAGCTTAGCTTTAGCTTAGTGCTAGCGTAGCTTTAGCTTAGCTTTAGCTTAGCTTCAGCCTTGTGTTAGCTTAGCTTTAGCTTAGCATTAGCTTAGCTTCAGCTTAGCTTCAGCTTCGCTTTAGCTTAGCTTTAGCTTAGTGCTAGCTTAGCCTTAGCTTAGCTTTAGCTTAGCTTTAGTTTAGCTTTAGCTTAGCTTCAGCTTAGTGTTAGCTTAGATTTAGCTTAGTGTTAGCTTAGATTTAGCTTAGCTTTAGCTTAGCTTTAGCTTAGCTTTAGCTTAGCTTCAGCTTAGCTGTAGCTTAGCTTTAGCTTTAGCTTAGGCTTAGCTTTAGCTTAGATTTAGCTTAGACTTAGCTCAGAGTTAGCTTAGCTTCAGCTTAGATTTAGCTTAGAGTTAGCTTAGCTTCAGCTTAGCTTTAGCTTATATTTAGCTTAGCCTTAGCTTAGCTTTAGTTTAGCTTTCGCTTAGCTTCAGTTTAGCTTTAGCTTAGCTTTAGCTTAGCTTTAGCTTAGCTTTAGCTTATGTTTAGCTTAGCCTTAGCTTTATATTTAGCTCATAGTTAGCTTTAGATTTAGCTTAGCTTTAGCTTAGCTTTAGCTTAGCTGTAGCTTAGCTTTAGCTTAGCTTTAGCTTAGATTTAGCTTAGATTTAGCTTAGCTTTAGCTTAGTGTTAGCTTAGCCTTAGCTTAGCTTTAACTTAGCTTGAGCTTAGCTTCAGCTTAGCTTTAGTTTAGCTTTAGCTTAGCTTTAGCTTAGCTTTCGCTTAGCTTTCGCTTAGCTTTACTGTTACTACTAATGCTGCTTTCCTAGGGGCTCCAACTCCTAGGTAGGGTCGCACTGGGATAAGTTATTACTTATCGTTCCTTGTGCGATATTCCCTGGAAAAAAGGGGCTTCGTTCCTTGTTTATAGTTCCTTAGGTCAGGCCGATGGCTGTATTCGTTTGCGTGTCTCTGGGCCCCTTCTCTATACGCGGTCGCCCGGGGTGCGCGACGTGGACCCGGCTTCGACCTTGGCGAGCGCTGAGCCGGGCCAGCGCGTCCCCCGCGAGGAGCAGACGTCACGGGAGAGAGTGCCCACGCGAGCCCCCCAAAATTGGCGCGTGCTCGGCTTCGGCTGCGAGCGAAGGGGGGGGGAAGCGAGAAAGGGAAGGCCTTCCTCAGACGGCGGCGGGACTTCTCGGAACTCCTCCTCGGAGGGCGTGGGGGCACTTCCGACCCCGTTGGGTTCGCTTCTGCCAGCGCGCTTGCGGACGGGCCTTTGCCGCAGCGGGCCCTCCGCCCTCTTTTGGGCGGGGGGGAGGGTGGCGCGGCCCCCGCACAAAAGAGATGCCATCAGCGCTCGGCGCAGGGAGGCCGCTTCGGGGCCGCAGGGCCGCCAACGTTACACATGTGTAATCATACATCGATATGTGCATGTGAAAGCTTGTTTTCTATACGTCTATTGTTTATTGGTTTTAATGTACGACCCCTGCGCCCACCGCAGGGTGAACAGCCGGTCCTTCAAGAGCGGCGAACATATGTCCGCATCCGCGTCAAAGCGGTCTGGATTCCGGAGCGCGATCCCGCGGATGCGCGGTTGTACGGTTACGTCCCGAGCGGAACATCCGCGAAGACACGCCCCGTATCCGCGGGGTCGCGGCCCAGGGGCCCAGCCCGCGAGGCCGCGGATACGGATCATATGTGTTTCGCCCACGAGTCCTGGAGTGGGGGTCCGAGAGCTCTGCTCGGGCGGGCGGTAATGTGGGGTGGCTTATATATGGAGGTTGAAGAACAGGGCTCCAAAGGGGGGGGGGGGGGGGGGGGCCTTTTGATGGCCCCGTTGGGAGCTGGCCGGGGCCCCGAAGGGACCCTAAAGACACCTGGAGGGCCCTGTTCTTCACCCCCCCCCGCAGGTCACCCCCCATTGCCACCCCGCCCGATCCGGGGGGCAGGCGGCTCAGGCAGTCTGAACCGTCGAAGCTTTGGGCCCTCCGCTCTCTCCCGAGGGGTTCTTCGCAGTGCCGTCCAGCTGCGCTGCCGCGCATGCGCACATCCGCCGCGCTCGGACGAGCTGCGGGGCAGGGCCGCAGGGAGGCACGGGCGTGCCGCTGCACGGTCCTCGCGCGGCCTCTTGCCGGGCCGGCTTGCAGTCCTCTTGGGGATATCGGGCGTTTTTGGGGGGGCTCGCAGGTCCGTGTGGGGGCTGAGGCTCCGGTTGGTCAGTGTAGGGGGCTTCTTGGGATCTTATTGGGCGCCGCTCCAGGCCTCCCGGGGCCCTCTTGGGCCGTCTTAGGGCGCTCGTGGCCCGTCGGACGCCTTCGGGCGCCGTCTTGGTGCCTGACCTCTGTGGGCCGTCGTGGGTCTCTTCGGGCGCTTCAGGGCCCCCTTTGAGTCGTCTTGGGTGCCTATTGGGCTGGGCCGTCTTGGGGCCCTCTAGGGGGCCTCTTCGGCCGTCCTGGGATGTGGCGGGCCTGGACTGGCGAGAATGCCACCGTCGCTCAGCGATTTGATACAAACCATCGATTTCTGCTTCTTGGAGACCTCCTGGTGGGCCTATTGGAGCTCTTGGGCTGTAGGCTGTATTGCAGGCCTCGTGGGCCGTCTTATGCCCATTTTGGGCCGTCTTGGGGCCACCGTGAGCCGTCTTCAGGCCATCGTGGGCCAGATTCGCGTGGCTTTTTGGGCTGTCTGAGCCGCCCTGGGGCTTTCCAAGGGGAGGTGGCGGAAGCAGATGCCACGGGGGGTCGCCTGCCGGGGTGGCATTTGTTATGCACGAGCAAGAAGACAGGTTTTCTGGTGGCCTTCATCGGCTCTTCGCAACAAGCCGAAGTGACGAAACCTGGAAGGGCCCTGCACGCAAACCGCGGTGGTGGCGGAAGGTTTAGCTCGAATAAGATGTGAAGTACCGTGTAGCACATATTTTCTATGTGGCTCCACCTTTAGCGTGGACTACAGTCTGAATGTAGCTTTAGACGTTAGCTTTATCGACACTGGGCTTCACATTACGGGACACAGGGACGTACGTTGCAGTTTGACGTGGCACCAAGGCGCATCTAAGTTAAGTATAATGTCTGCCCAGTCGTCAAATGTTGTTGCTGTTTCTGACGCGTCAATAACTTGATGTTCCTATTTAAGTCGTGAGCTTGTCTTGCGGCATTCAGTTTTGAGGGATTCGTGTTGAGCATTCAAGGCGAGACCGCGGGGCCTTCATATTAAGCTTAAGCGTGTTATTTAACTTCACCTGTAGACTGACACGTGAAACGTGACACCCCAACGGGACACCACGTGCCACCCTGGGACACTGCGAGTGCAGCCTCAATGACACCACAACAGGACACCACGGAACACCACCCAAAGAGTCTTGGCGTTAATAGTTGCTCAGCCTCAGTTATAGCGTTCCCTTTAGCTTGAGTTGTTAGCGTTGGCTCAATACGAACACGCACACGGTTCTGGATTATTGCCAAGGCTGTAATTGCGGCCTCATCTTTAGTTTCACTTGTTGACAGGCAGCGTTGGCTTTAGCCTTCGGCTTGGAGCTCAAGCTGAATAGTAACATTATTATTAGCTGGCGACTCTTTGCATTACACTTGATGTGTCTGAGTTTGCGTAAGTTCTGGATGCCAGTCTAAATGTCGGGTATCGCTTTGCCTTTGGAATGTATCGGGGTGCATCGTTGCCCTCGACTGGGACATATCGGGACGTGCTTCCATATCGTCATCACGATCCATCCCATCATCACCGACACGATCATCCTCATCACAATACATAGGCACTCTGGCTCGAGCCACTCGAGTTCAAGCCAGCAGTCGTCGCGTTTCTGCCAATTGCACGGTCGCACTTCCCTACACTTCACTTTCCCAGCATGTATCGCCTAGCGTGGATTGCTGGAATCGTCGCAGGCGTCGACGGTCTGCAAACCAGTGACGCTCCAGTCGCGCTTCACGGAAGCCGTGTGATGACCGACAGCGTTTCCGCTCTTGACCCTGAGTTGACAAACATCGCAGGGGAGAAGTTCCACGTCACCACGCCTGGAGATTTCGTCATGATCGGATTGCCGTCGTCTTGCAACCCAGAAGTTCCAGATGCGTGCGATTTGATCTTCAAGGCAAGTTTTGACAAGCTGGAGAACGACAGCGATTGCAACGACCTGATGATTCGCAATCTGTCGATTCAGGGTACAAAGCTCGCTAGCGGGGCATCTGGCGTTACGAAAGTTGATTTTTCTATCCTCAGCGATGTCGGCAACTCCTCAGACGCTCTCGGGTTCCAAATCAACGACGAGTACAAGACCCCAGAGGAATTTTCAAGTCAGCTGGCCTATTGTACCGTCTCGCAGCAAAGGGGTTATTTTCAGTGGCCTACCAAGAGGACTTATCGCTTCCGCACAACGACCTACAATGTAGAATGCGGCTTGGACTTCGGGAACCAGGAGTTGAAGTTGCACTTCAGCACCGTCTGGCGGGGAACCTTGCTAGACACCGGCTTGCCCGTTTACGCGAACGACATGTCGTTCAGTATCTCGAACGTGGGAACGGACGCGATTGGCCTCCTCGGCACGGACGACAATTCGGCGGTGACGGCAGCAGTTGCGGGCTGCAACAAGAAACAGCCTGTGAGTGGGCCCTACCAGGTGAGGCACGGACCGAAGTTCCCGAAGCGCCACCACTGGCGCTGAGCGATTGGGTAATTCAGGCTTTTCGCCTGCTCCAGAAGGCGCACGGGCTCAGGTGGCGTGGCGAGCTTGTGCTGCGGAGTCGGACGGCCTCATCCCTCACGGTCTTCCAGCTCCCTGCTTCTGCGCCTGCTCCTGTGGTTCCTCGTGCTGCTTCTCCTCCTCTCACTTCTCTTCCTCCCTTCCCCCTTCTCTCCGGGTATCCTCGTCCTCCTTCCCCTCCTTCCTTCTCCTTGGAAGCATTCTTCACATGTATCGCAAAACCGCGTCTTCTCCTTATTCGTTCTCGTCGTCGTCCCCCTCTGCCTCTCCAGAGGTTTGCTCCGGTCAAGAATGCCAGGGCGCCGAGATCTCAGATCCCTCCTTTTTCATCGCTTGTCCGTGATCCCTCATTCCTTTGCTGCTCCTCTCTGCTGGGCGCACTGCTCACCTGTGCAAGGCCACGCCAGATCGAATGGTGACCAACATCAGCTTGACCTTGAACCTACATGCCACGCGCTCCCCAAACAGTGCTTGCGCCGTGGGTTCTTGTTTCAAGCAGTGGCGGAGCGTCCTGGCTCGCCTATAGGCCCACCTGTGTTCCAAGAACCTTCTTGTGGTTTTACACCAAATGTTCTTAGAACAGTTCTGGCTGAGTCTGTCTTGTTTTAACATATATGGCTTATGTTCTAAGAACATTCTTTTTGTGATTCGAACATTTCTGGTGTCTAAAAAGACTCTCGTGGTAGGGCTATAGAAATGGCGGGACGGCCGTTCCCTGCTCAACTTCTTCGGCTTGCAGTTTGCCGCCTCCCGGCCTCGCTCTGAGGCTGCGCCTTCCCCCCTTCCTCCCCCTCCATGTTAATTCAAGCTTCGCGCGGCCCGCTTGGCTTCGACCGGAAGAGGTGCGCTCTCGACCCGCGAATCATAATTGTTTGGCTTGCGGATTCTTTGGCTGGGCCTTCCGGCTCTTCGGCCGGCGGGGGCGCGTCGTGGCCGCCCCTGGCGCTCGCGGGGCCCCTCTGGAGTGTTCGGCCCGCGGCCGCCCCGCGGGCGCCTCGTCTCCTGCGCCTTGGCGTCGCTCGGACGTGTGTCTTTTTTCCTGCTTCGGCGAGGACCATCGAGGAGCATCCTTGAGTATTTGGCGAAAAAGCCACGCACGAAACCGAAAAAAAAAACACAGGGAGTGGACGTCCGAGCGATGGCCAGGCGCTGGCTCGCTCTGCCAGGCCTCCGGCCCGTTGGGCACCCGACCTGTGGCCGCCTCGCGCGCCGGCTGTGCTCGCTCCACGCGGAGGGCACCACGTGGAGTGCCCCACGAGGCACTCAGAGGAGGAGCAGGTACCCCTACCTCTACCCTCTCCTCGTTTTCCCCCTTATGGGCCTCCTGGGCCTCCGTCATCGCCGCCGCTGGATTCGCCTCGAAATCCTGGTCAGAACGCACCCCAGCAGAGGTCCGGGGAGTAGCGGCATCGGTACCTTTTGGTGTCCCCAGACATGTATTCTTCCTGCAAGAGATTGGGGTCTGACACCCCCCCTCTCACCCTGGCACGGGGTAGCCGCCCCCTCATCAGATGGCGACTTCAGATCTGTGATGGGCTGCGTCTTCGGCCTGGCTGCCATGTGGTCGCCGTCGCCGCCCCGTCGCCGCCTCGTCGCCTCCTCGCCGCCGCCGTTGGACTGCACCACGTAGATTGCACCAACAAGAAAAAGTCGCGCATGCGGCGCACTTTTAGATCGCTCAAACCATAAATCACACCACATGTATCGCACAACATAGACCAGGTCTGGACCTAAACGGTGTTTTGGCGATTTCGTGGACCGTTGTCGTTTCGACTTCGTTTTGCGGTAGAGGTGGATTGAAGACAAAACGAGGGAAAACGATGACAAACGAAAACGAAAAACACCGTTTAGGTTCAGCCCTGACATCGGCTGCACAACCGCATTCCCCTGACAGTGATTGCACTTAGGGGCTCTTCTTTCTCTTCCAAGCAACTGGGCTGGTGGCCCAGTCTAGCAGCTCCGTGCCGGCCGTCGCCGCCACAATGCCGCCTCGTCGCCGCCCATCGTCTGGGCCGGTTGGCAGGGCAGACTCGTGCCAGCCGTCGCCGCACCGTCGCCGCCTCGTCGCCGCCCGTCGTCGCCGATGGATCGCACCACACATTTTGCACGACAGAAGTTCGCGTTTGCGACGTGCTCTTTGATCACTCACAAAACTGTTTGTACCCCTTATATCGTACAACTTAGATTGCACCACGTATATGGCACAACATCTATTCCTTTCCCCTTTTTTTGAAATTAGGCTCTACCCCCCCCACCACCACCCTCGGATTACCACTCACTCCCCCCTGGGGTATTGCAATTTACATATGATTCTGCCTCCATGTTCATTTTCCACATGCATTCATACCATCCCAGCTAGTCGCTGTCCCGGTATCGGGTCCCCCCTCCTCCCTGTCAAATGAGACAATGCGGTGCTGATGTGTTGATCGCTGAACGTACGAATCCCCATGAAATAATACCATGCGTTCCACATGCGCGCGCAAAACGAAATCCTTGCAAAACCTTTTTTCGCTGTTATTTTTGCGCAAACACATCAGCAACACAATGGTTTTCCAACACAAAGTTTTCAACAGTTCATCCCGCGCGCTCTTGCGGATTATAGGGGGCCCATTTGTTTCAATTTTGTTGTCCAAGGATGCCTCCGTGCGCGCATGTGTAATTGATTCCAATGCCCTCGCGCGCATGCCAGAGGCATGATCTCTTTCAAATATCACCATGCGGGGAAACGTCATCGTCACCATTGCCGCCGGAAGCGTCGTGATCATTCTCATCGTCATTTGTCGACGCCGTCGTCCGCGCTGTCTCCCGCAAGATGGACCTTGCCTGCGCGACGAGCGTCCGCGCGCCAATGCACACCATGAAATTATCGGAGGATCTCCACGCTGTAAGTGCTGTCGTCCGCGCTGGCTCCCGCAAGATGGACTTTGCCCGCGCCACGAGGGTCCGCGTGACAGCGAGCTCGATACAATTGGCGGACGAGCTCCACGCTTTAACTGCAGTCGTGACTTTATGAGTTTTGTCGACCAATATGCGGATGGGACGGTGGGAGGTCTGCACGAGCATGGGATATGGTCACGCGCGGTGCAGCGTGGTCAATTTCACATTACGGATACCACCGCTTAGATTGCATTGCCCATATTGAATTTCATCGGGTGCAGCACGTAAATTGAACAACGTCTCATATATAGCACAACGTAGACTGTCCCACATATGTTGCACCAGGCAGATCGCACCACCTATCTCGCACTACGTATGTTGCGCCGCATACACTACATCACATAGATTGCGCAACCTAGATTGCACAACGTGGATTGCTTTTCCTAGATCCCGCAACATCAGGTGCACAACATAGGTGGCACACCAGTCCGTCGCCATCTTGGTTCAAGTAAGACATCGATCAAGCCAGGTGGGCAGGAACAACGCTTCCCGCTGGTCCTTTGCAGGGGAGGCCTGGCCAGGTTTCAGCAGCTTTTGACACGCACCTTCCACGTCATTTTCCTCCCTCGCACAACGCTGCGGCCGTGATGCCAGGCGATCGTTCCCGACGTTCGGTTTCCTGCAGGAGCTCGAGGCATCGATCGGGCAGCCGCGCGCCGTCAGCCCAAACTTCCAGCAGTTGCCGCATGCCCTCTTCATCTCGCACCCGTTCTGGCAAGGGCAAGCGACCCGCACAGAAGACGCCGACTGAAGAGAAACTTGATGAAATCTTTCGTGCATCCCGTGGCGTTGGATCGCGGCTGCATTCGTAGTCTTATGACATTCGCTTCATCAAGAGCCAGGCTTCCGCGCTGTCTGGCCGTTGCGACCAGCCCACAACCAACATGGCGAACCTGACGACCGACATCCAGAACAAAGCGGCGCAGCTGGAGGGCCAGCAGTTTGCCATGCACTCCGACGTCATTTCTCGCTTGGACAAGGTCAAGGGGCACGTCACCGGCCGTATCAACACCGAGCTTATCGCCAAAGAAGCTCGCCAGCATGCCCCACACTTCGGCGCGGGCGCGGGCGTAGGCGAAGAACCCTAGTCTTGTGTCCAGACCCAAATTGCATTTATCGAGGAGAGAAGCTCCGCGCCCTCTCCACCCACCCTCCGCTACCAGCAGCTCGATTGGCTCTCGTCGCAGCGGTGCCATCAGTGACCAACAGGGGAGCACTTGTAAACTCATTGCCGTCGGCTTCCCTCGGAAAATGCTGGCCGCGCCTCGCAGACCATCGCCAGGGCGCTGCAGGCCCAGCAAGCACCGACAGACGTCAGGCTCGGAGTGGCGCGAAATGTTTCGGCATGGCCAAGAAGATCACCCACGACTTCGGGTAGGCTAACGACGCCTCCAACTTCCTCGCCAATCCGGCCGCGATGGTTTCTCTCGCCATCCCGACTCCTGATTTCCACAGAAGATGTTCAATATCCAGATCAAGGGTGACTACGACTTGAAAGGCCGCCAGATTTTCGTCATCGCGGGGCGCGTCCGCTCTTGCAACTCGAAGCAGCTCTCGGCTCGCGGTATAGAGGTTGGCAGCAGCGGCCTGGGCGGCCTCGTTTACGCGCCGAGGTCTGAACGCGATCCCGTCGAGCTCGCGCAGCTGGAGATCGCCGGCGATGGCCTCGCGGTCGCGGTCGAGCTCGTCGCCGCCGGTTTGCGCGAGTTTGGGTTGGAGGCCCACGCGGGCGACGTCCGCGACGCAGCTGGCGTTCAGGTCAGACGCCCCTTACCGGGCGCTGAAGCTGATCGCATTCCAGCAGACTTCCGCACGACACCCCCCGTGTCTCCCTACGCGAGGAGCGCGGTTGGCCCCCCCCTTTCCCCAATTCCAAACTGTGTGCTTTTTGCCCCGGCAGCTCGCAATTTGCCCGTTGAGTGCGCGCGGCTTGTTCAGTTTTGTCAGGAGTGCGATTTGGCGCGCCACCGCGCGCTACCCCCCCCTCTTCAAGCCCGCATCGCAGGTTTGCCAGCATCTGCTGTCAAGAGACGCACGGTCGCACATCAGAGTTCGGAGAGCTCCACCGCGAGCTGGGCTCGGCCTCCTCTGGGTTCTCGATCGGGCCATCTGTCTTCCCTGGTTCTCAGCGCGAAGGTGGGCTTGCCATTCTATGAAGTCCAGCTCCATGCCGTAAATCCATTGCTGTTTCACAGCATGAAGTCGTCACTGGTCGCAGCCCGCATGGTCGTTTCTGGTCCGAACGGCCCCCTCAGCGTTTTCAAACCCCCACCTCCCCAG